TCAATCTTTTAATTTACGATCAGTTTTTATTTTTTTTTTTTGATTATCTAATTTCATAATAATCTTTTTTTCTTTCTTTCATACGCATGCATCGGCGGTATGGTTTCTCGGAGAACGTTAAAAGAGAAAGAGAAAGAAGAGGGGGTGGATGAGGAGGTGGAGGAGGAGGTGGAGGGGGAGGGAAAGGGTGTTATTTCGTCTTCTTCTTCTTCTTCTTACAGTTTTTAGCGGTCCTCTCATCTCGATTTTATTTCTTTTTTTATATTATGTATGAATCTTTTCTTTATTTTCTTTTTTTTCCTCGGTTTTTTTCTTTTTTCTTCTTTTTTTCGTAGAGGCACACAACAATCATAAAAAGTTCTTCTTTTATCCCCTAACTCCCTTCTTCCACTTCCGTCACCTTCTCTTCGGATTCTCATATATATATATCTGTTTCTAGATCCCTCCCTTCCTCCCACCCTCCCGGCCTCTCTCACGTTCTTTGTTCGTTGGCAAAGCAACCAGACGATGACGTCAATCGCAAGGGTATACCAATGAAAAAGTGGAGAAGAGAAGGGACAAAAAAAAAAGAAGAAGAAGGGATTAATGAGGGGTCGGGAAAGGCAGGTGTGACTTTCAAAAGTGTTCGTTCGTCCTTTTTGTTGTTGATGTTTTTTTTTTTGCTTTCTTTTTGTGTGGCGGCGTGGACGGGGCAAGGACGAGGATCAGCCTCCCCCGTGGTTCAGCAAGCAAGAACTACTATTCGCCCTTCTTCATCGCCTACGTTTACCACTACCCCATCGGACACTGACGTCATCGCCATGTCGACGCCATAATCGGTGGTGGTGGTGGTGCTGCTGCTGCTGTTATCGCTGGTGCCGTCGCCGCCATCGATGATTTACCAACCCCAACGTCTAGTTGCAGTAGTGGTTGAAATAGAAGTAGTAATAATAATAATAATAGTAGTAATAATATAAGTAGTAGTAGTAGTAGTAATAGTAGTAGTAATAGTAGTAGTTGTAGATCGAATCTCGTCGATCTCCTTTCGTCGTTCACTTTGTCCCATCGTTTTCTACAGGAGCCACGGGAATAGAACGAAGTAGTCCACCACCACTTAGGAGGAGGAATCAACCCGTGGATGATGTTAATAACAACGAGGACGGGGTTGGTGGTAGAGTATAATAAGAAATAATTAGCGACGGTAATGAATAGGACGACGGCGGGGTCGCATCACGACGAACACGCCATCCAAGAATTGCAAGTGCAAGTATAGCACGCGGTAGGTATGACGGGTGTGTAATAATAGCCGTTAGCATAAACGTAGGTCGCTGGTGGTCCCGGTGGTGGTTGTTGATGATTCGTCAGCCGTTGCTGTTGTTCCTGATAAAATACCTGGCATGCCAGATTTTGGATCAATGCAAGGGTCTGTCGCCGTTCGTGACCCATCAGACAAACCGTCGACTCCTCGACGACTTTGTGCAAAAGCATCAGGTACTTGTATTTTAGGGCTTCTTCTTCGGGGCCAACGAAATGATTCCACAAGTAATTCTCGAGCTTCGCCTGTTGCTGACTTATATCAGGAAAGTCGATGAAGAATCTCGAACACATGTATCGCTCGAGGGTCTTTATATAGTCCGGTTTGGCCGGCTTGTACATCTTAACCAAGAGATTGCAATATTTCAATAGACCACCTCCTCTAATCTCCTCAGGATTCCTCGTCGATATGAGCTTCTTGTGAAGGTGGTAGAGTGCTTCTTGGAAATCACCGTAAACAGACTCGCCTACTACGGTTGGATAAAAGTTTTCACCGATCGGTAATTTGCTGCACTCGTAAAATAATAACAGAGAATCAAGGACAATTTGAAAACTGTCGACGGAAAATTCGAATTGTCGTCTCATAGAATCGACGAATTTCAATTCTACATTCCTGTGTCCTCGTGAATTCCCAAGGGATATCAAGGACCATCTATCGCCGTCGTTGTTCACTTTGACCATCTTGCTGACGTAAGCTTCTTTCAAGCTGCACGTTGTTATGCGTTTTCTGCTAACACCCTCGGGTAAAAGGTCGAACAAAGAACCCAATACCGCGGCCTTAACCTTGTCGTAGTTACGGCCGCTGGATAATTCAACAGCGAATATCAGATCAAGATCGTTGTAGGGTTGGGATTCGGTTGCCAATACGTGGGACGCTGCACCACCGTTCAATCTGATGTCCCTTACCCTCATACCAGCACCTCCATTACTAGGCTCACCTTCCAGTTTGCTACGCACAACCGTTACGAGATCTCTCAGTCTAACCTCCAATGTTGGAAAGTTTCCCCTACCATGAATGCTTACAACCTCGTCCATCACATCGTTCAATCGACGCACCTGCTCAAAGCTCAACACGGCCAGCCTTTGTTGAGGATCAGGGCAATCCGAATTGTTATTACTGTGACTATTGTTGTTGTTCTTATTATTGTTGTTACTTATAGTAGTATTATTATTGTGCTGATTGTTCAAATGATTGTTGTTGTTTTCCTTGTTCAAATCATTCCCGTTGTTGGTCTTGTTGTTCACTTGACAGAGGGACTCCATCATAGCGACCCGACGCTGTCGTTCTTCGCCGATGTCCAGGGAGCCACACTGAAACAAACGAACACAAACACATTAATATCTGTCCTATTTTTAACTTCGCATATCGCAAATATGTCATTTTTATCTTCTTAATATAGCGGACAAAAATTAAGCTAGATAAGATTGTTTAACATCATTTTCAATCGAAGAGGGGAACGTTACGAAACACGATCAATAAATCAATACGATAACGGCATTCTCGTAACCTTCGTTTTAAAAAGAAGAAAACGAAGAAAATAAAGAAGAAGAAGAAGAAGAAGAAGAAGAAGAAGAAGAAGATGAAATGGTGGAATGTAATCGCAAAGGCAAGAAATGCCATGAGGTTACGTCCGGGTAGTTGTGGTGATGGTGGTGGTGTGATCGAACGAAGATGCGCGCGCGTGTACAAACACATACACACACAGAGAGAACAATGTTCTCGCCCTACCAACCCAGAGCTGTGACTTTCCTTATGAACTTTTTGTCTGGTGCGAGTCGATACTCGAATAATACAAACGAGCTGAGTTGTCACCGATCACTGTGTTAATCGTTTCATTTTAATCAATATTCATTCCTCTATCTATTTATCTTGAGATAATATACACGGGTTCGTTTATCGACCTGTAGCATCTTCATTCACGAGAAACTAAATAACACGTTGCATGGAACAGGTATCCGACATATGTTTGCAATTTTATACACTTTCGTTCGATTTAATTGTTATATTTTTATTTTGCTTTGCAATAAAAGTACGTACAGATCGATATATTTTGGATGTATTTGTAATTTTATTCAAAAATCGTCATAAAGACTACTTTCCAGCAGACAAGTATACACGATTATTTTGGTTGACCGAAAAGTTGTTGGTAAAGATTTTGCGAAAAATTGTATTGAACATTTGAAAGTATTTATCTAGGCAAACTTTTGAAGGAAATTCACACACAAATACGAATAATTTATATAGACAAGTTAGAGAATGAAAAATAAAAATGTATTAAATAATAAGGATTTGGCATTAATCGGGTCAGCGAACGCGGACGCGAGAACGTGAACTTTCACTAGTCCGAGTCCATCCAACTTCTTCGAATGCATCCCGATCAATTGTAAGGACGAACTTTTGACGTGTCTGGAATGTAAAGTGGGGTAAAAAGATAGACAAGAATGATCTGTTATAGTAGGAGAAGGAGAAGACTATGATTAGGTGGGAGTTAGTAACTAGGAAGGGATAGTAGTGACTAGAAAATGATGTGCCAGCTGTGTAACTTCGAACAATACGATTTTAAAATGCGTCACAACGATGATAACTCTTTCAGTCAATTGATACGTCGACGATCCAGATGGGATAATAATAACAAAAATAGCTATAAATAACTAATATAAATTAACATTCGCGACGTACACAAAAAAACTGATTACGTCGTTATAGATTAAAGTGAACTACAAAAAAATACAATATTTCATACTAACATCCAACAACATTCGAGAATTTAAAGGCCCATCATCTGTAGGACCCGTCCCGATCATCGGGAATAAAGTTAAGCACCAAAAAAAAAAAAAAAAGAAAAGAAAAGAAATAAAATAAAGTTTATATAAAAATATATATAAATATAAAAAGAAAAAAAATGAAAAAAAAAAAGAAAAACACTAGAAGAAATTTCTTGGAGTATATCCTTCACCCTCTAGGTAAGTGTCACTTTGACGTATAGGTCGTATAGGATGCGATATATATTCTTCGTGAATAATAGCACCGATTCCCGCGGAATAAAGAGAAAAATGAGTTTCCGACTTCGACGAGAGTCAGCAGCAAACTGAATCGTACGAAGTGAAAGGTATCTATAGGTTTTCTGGTGGCAGCACAGCAGTGACAGTGGCGACGGAGTTTCGTTGGAGGTGGGAGAAGAAGTTGGAGGTGGAAGGTAGATAGTAGTGGTATTGGGATGTTAGATGTTGGGTGGTGGGTGGTGGTGGATGAGTGAGTAGTAGTAGTAGTGGTGGATACCATCAGCAACGTACCTACGTCAGCAACGTAGCACCGAATTTTATTGGAGAACAACGCAAAGTCCTGTGTATACGATTGACATCACTACAGTCACTCCCACCCCCTCTCTTTCTTTTTATCATCCTACCAGAATTATACAACATTGTCACAATAATATCATTATCCTGTACAAATTAAAATATCATTTTTATGATCTATCACAATGTATTATAATTAAACGTTTCATATACTCTATCTCTATCTCTGTATTTCTATTTCAGTTTAAAATTCATTGATTCGTTCATTATGTCGAATGTTAAGGATAGAATTTCTTTGTTAAGTGTGTGCGCGTATGCGCGCGCAAGTGTGTGTAGATTCTAGTCGACAAGAGTTTCTCAAACGTGTCCCCTATCGCGCATCCACCCACCACCTATCGCTCGATCTAACCAACCCTCAACCTTCCTCTTCCTCTTCCTTCCTCTTCCTCTTCCTTCCTTCCTTCCTTCCTTCTTTTTCTTTCTAATGCTGCAGGACTTTCTATGACGTCACAAGCGGGGGCGTCTCTGAATGAACGCAGTCAAATATATATCTACCATCACATATCTTTTACTACTACTACTACTACTACCACTACTGTTACAAGTTCTTTTCAACTTATTTATTTATTTTATTTTTAATTATACGAAAAATCTGATTTACGAATAAAAACATCATTTATACAACTTTATAAAAATCTTTATACTCATGTGCATACATTTTTAAGATCAATTAAAACGATTAGAGTGCACTTTTTTTTTTTTATATATAACCATAATTTTCCGATAGAAAGTTGAAGTGTTCCTTAACTCGAGTTTGCTTTTAACTTAGCAGCGTGGGGGCGTATTTACCATGATAAAAAACAAATGACACCAAAAAAAGAAAAAAGAAATAAAAATTTCTACGGGGAAATGGGAGATAAAAAAATAAAAAAAAAAATAAAATAAAGACAGAGAATATAATTTCCACGCGCGTGCGCGTCCTCCCTCTCCTATTTTTGCTTTTTTTTCTTTCTTTCTTTTATCGCCAGTTCCCACATTTTGTGGACAGAAGGGAAGAGGAAGAAGGAAAAAACCTAACGCACGACACACGACGGACAAACGTTATCGACTTTGGTATAATAATCGTCGTACTCACGTCACAAGTTACAAACGTGTACATAGATGTGTCATTGATAGATCGTTTAATACAACAATCCTTTATTTCCTATAATCTACAAGTTGGTTCAGTAATTTTTAAATTGTTATTCAATTTTTCATTTTTTTTTTTTTTACGACGATCATCATTATCGTCATCATCATTATCATCATTATTATTATTATTATTAAATTTATGATTGTATTTTATATACATTATACACGTATAATAAATTCAAGTAAATACGATAAGATTTCTCTTACATTTTTTTTGTTATAATTTGTAGAAAAAGAGAAAAAAATATATAAAAAAAAGAAAAATAATCGATTAATATGAACAGTTATTTGTTCATACTTCATTTCCGTTTTCTGCTGATTCCTTTTTTTTTAAAAACTAACTTTCTTATCGCAGTATGTTTACCCTCGCAGATTTCGAGATAAGGTTATACTTACTAAACGAAGACTTTGATTAAAATCTAATGGTAAGTATGTACATATATATATATATATATGGTTATGCGAAACGATAATTTCCGGGAATCGAGCAGGATTCGCGTTAAAAATTTATTGACAGGGAAAACACAAAATAAATAGAAGACAGGGAATGAAGGAATTATCGATTCATAATTTAAAAAACAAATTGAAAAAGGTCAAACACCTACGCAAATGCATGCATACGAACGCATTAAATAAATTCTGATCGATAAATTGAATAATTTTCATTAAACTAGACAGAATATACGTCGTAAGATAGTAACGGAAAATATAAATAAATAAAAGTCTATCTAATAAATTCTTAGTATAATAAAACAAATTAATATATTTTATTATTATTATTATTATCTTATTAAAATATAGTAAACTATAATATTAAATAGAAAATCCAGTTAAAATCTCAAGTAATAATAATAAAAATAAAAAAAAAACAAATATTGTAAAAAATGATAATATAAAAATGGAAGGAAAAAACAAAATGAGAAAAACAAGATCGGTGAAACTGCTTCTCTCTCATTCTCGTTAACGTTAATGTTCGCGGAACCGGAAAACGTAGCAAGCAGCAGCAGCGTGTTTCAGATGCCAGCGTGGCGCACATATATATATATATGTGTATGATACACATACTATTTACGTAATATGTATATGTCATGTGTATGTAGCTAGTAGCAGGGGTCAGCGAATGGTCGTCCATACGTCATAGAGTCGATTTCGTATGAAGTAAGAGGAGAATGGAATGGAAATGACGACAAGAGGCGGATCAACGTGCGCGTGTGCTATCAACCACGTTGCGAATTGTAATATCATCGAACCGTGCATACATATATTTTCTGCATTGAGTAGAAATATATACCTCTAACATATTTACATATGCATATGTATGTGTATGGTGCGTGCGCGTGCACGTATGTATACTGACATGACAGACAGACACTTAACATGTACACGATCGAAGTTACATTCAGTTTTCATCCATGTGATCGTTTCTCGCTGTTGCATCAAACAACGTAATTGATATCTTCTACGAAAATTCCATTTAGATTATTTTTATATCATTATTTTTATAGATAGAATTATACAATAAGAATTTATATTTGTTGTTAGAAACACAAAATTCTTTTTATTAAAATATAAACAATTTTCTATCTTTTAATCGCAATCCTATAACAATATATTAAAACATACAAATATAGAAATTGAATTTGAATATAAATCAATGTCATAATACTTCATCGAATATAAAACGTTCTAAAGATTATATCTATTCATGTATATGTGTGTATGTTAATGTCTGGATATTCTATAAAATGTCCAACATTATACATATTGTCCATAACATATATACATTATAATGGTAATGTACATAAATTGTTACATTACATTAA